CATCGGAGCCGGTTTCCATCGTCGCCATGGCATCCCAGTCGCCCTCCAAGGAGAAGTCGACTGATGCTGATAACGAGGAAAAGAAGCCCAGGCCTTCAACCTCGCCGTCACGACGACGTCGTGGGCGCTCCAACAGCCGACGCCGCTCTGGCTCACGAGTCGTGGAGCGCGTCATCGAGCGACCATCCGCGAACGTCGCGTGGCCGATGCTCACGCGGACGAACTACCCGGAGTGGGCGTTGGTGATGGAGGTGAACTTCCAGACGCTCCGCGTCTGGGACGCCGTCGACATCGGCATCGACGAAGACCCTGATGAAGATGAGTACCAGCAAGACCGCCAGGCCATGGCGGGTCTCCTGCGCTCGGTCCCCTCCGAGATGTGGGGGACGCTCGGTCGCAAGCGGACCGTGAAGGAGGCGTGGGACGCCGTCAAGGTGCTCCGAGTCGGCGACGGCCGCGCGCGCGACGCCAGCGCCCAGCAGCTTCACCGCGAGTTCGGCGCGCTCGTCTTCAAGGAGGGCGAGTCCGTCTCCGAGTTCGGCATCTGCATCACGTCGCTCGCCGTGAACCTCCGCACCCTCGGCGACCACATCTCGGACGCCGAGGTGGTAAAGAAGCTCCTGCAGGTGGTCCCTGAACGCTTGTCCCAGGCCGCCGTCTCCCTCGAGATGTTCCTCGATCTGAACACGGTCTCGATCGAGGACGTCATCGGCCGGCTGCGCGTGTTCGAGGAACGCGGCAAGCCGAAGGAGATCACGGACGGCATGGGGAGGCTCCTGCTCTGCGAGGAAGACTGGGAAGCCCGCCGGAAAACCCGCCGCGAGCAGGAGAGCTCCGGTGGCGGCTCGGGCTCCAACAGTCGTGGAAAGCCACGAGGACGCGGACGCGGGCGAGGCGGCTCAGGATCCGGGCAGCGCGATGGCCGTGACGGCCAGGGCGCAGGCACCGGCAACGCCGGCGGCGGCAAGCCGCCGCGCGGTGACCGCTGTGATTCCTGCGGGAAGACGGGCCACTGGGCCAAGGATTGCCGTGGCAAGAAGAAAAAGGCCGCGGCCCATGTGGCCCAAGTCGAGGAGGAAGAGGATCGGGCCCTCATGTATGTCTCCGTTGAGTCTGAGGTAAACCAGTCGCCCGATTTCGTTCCCCATTCCACACCACCGCTGCCGCCGCCGCGCGCCGTCAATCCTCCACCGCGCATCCACCTCGTCGAGCAGAAGGTCCTTCTCCATCTTAGTGATGAAGAGAGGAAGGACGTGGGGCCCCGCCGCTGGGTCCTCGACACCGGCGCGACGAATCACATGTCCGGGTCGCGCGCTGTCTTCGCCGAGTTGGACAAGGGCGTCACCGGCACCGTCAAATTCGGCGACGGGTCGGTGGTCAACATCGAAGGGAAGGGGACGGTCCTCTTCGCCTGCAAGACTGGCGAACACCGCCGGCTGGAAGGAGTCTACTTCATCCCGCGGCTGACCACCAACATCGTCAGTCTCGGGCAGATGGATGAGGACGGCTTCAAGGTGGACATCGAGGCCGGGATCCTGCGCCTCTACGATCTGCAGCGACGCCTGCTCGCCAAGGTACACCGGTCTCCAAGCCGCCTCTACTACCTCGACATGACCATCGCCGCCCCGGTGTGCCTCACCGCGCGTGTCGGCGACGTCGCCTGGAGGTGGCATGAGAGGTTCGGGCACCTGAATTTCAAGTCACTGCGGAAGATGAGCCGCGGTGAGATGGTGAAGGGCCTGCCGGAGATCGACCACATCGAGCAAATCTGCGAGGACTGCGTTCTCGCCAAGCAGAAGCGAACGCCGTTCCCGCAGGCTGCCAAGTTCCGGGCGACGGAGGAGCTCGAGCTGGTCCACGGAGACCTCTGCGGGCCGATCACCCCGTCGACACCGGCCGGGAACGCCTACTTCCTGCTCCTGGTCGACGACATGAGCAGGTATATGTGGCTTACCCTGTTGCGCTCCAAGGCTGATGCACCGGCGGCCATCATGATGTTCCAGGCGAAGGTGGAACGCGAAACCGGCAAGAAGCTGAAGGTCCTCCGCACCGATAACGGTGGCGAATTCACCTCGGTGCAATTTGGTGAGTACTGTGCAGGTGAGGGCATCCATCGGCAACACTCTGTGCCACATTCACCACAGCAAAACGGTGTTGTGGAACGGCGGAACCAGATGGTCGTGAACACGGCGCGGAGCATCCTGCGTGCACGGGGTATGCCGGGCTTCTTCTGGGGAGAGGCGGTGCACACAGCTGTGTATCTCCTCAACCGGTCGCCAACGGCCGCTCTCGACGGCCTGACACCATACCAGGCGTGGTACGGGAAGAAACCACCCGTGCACTTCCTGAGAGTGTTCGGGTGCGTCGCCTACATCAAGCAACTTCGCCCACACCCGTCCAAGCTCGAGGATCGCGGCCGGAAGGTGGTCTTCATCGGATACGAAGAGGGAGCGAAGGCGTACCGTTTCTACGACCCCGCCACGGAGCATGTCCGGGTCGCGCGCGACGTCGTGTTCGACGAGAACGCGCGCTGGGACTGGGGGAGCACCGCGCCGGGCGACAGCTCGGTGCCGTTCACCATCGAGGAGGAGTACGAGCTGCGTCGTCAGGCACCGGCACCCTCGACACCGCTGCACGCCACGAACCCGACGCTGGCGCTCGCGGTGCACCGCACCGCCGCGACGCCGGGAGCACGTCCACCATCAGCCTCGGGAACGGGCTCACCAGCTCTAGGCTCGACGTCCAGGGAGGCGCCCTCACCAACGACTGCCGCGCCGAACGCCACCAAGGTGACACAGGTGGAGTTCGCAACGCCGCTGAGCGCCGACCCGAACCTCGACGCGGACGACGACGAGGACCTGGAGCATCGGTACAGGACACTCGAGAACGTCCTTGGCACGAACACCGTGCCCGGGCGTGCTCACCGCGACGTCGAGGAAGCTGAACTGCACAATGTCAGCGTGGAGGAGCCCAAGTCCTTCAAGGATGCTGACGGCGATCCGAACTGGAACGCAGCAATGGAGGAGGAGCTCAAGTCGATCCGCGACAACAACACTTGGTCGCTGGCTGATCTTCCTCGAGACCAGCACGCCATCGGCCTCAAGTGGGTATATAAGGTGAAGCGCGATGAGAACGGCGCCATCGTCAAGTACAAGGCGCGTCTGGTGGCCAAGGGGTACGTGCAGCGCCCCGGCATCGACTTTGATGAGGTGTTCGCCCCCGTCGCACGGCTGGAGTCCGTCGGTGCTCCTTCGCCATTAGCGCGCACCGGTGGGGCGTCCACCACATGGATGTCAAATCGGCGTTCTTGAATGGCGAACTCCAGGAGGAGGTCTACGTCCAGCAACCTCCCGGTTTTATCGACAGCAGGAACAAGCACAAGGTGCTTCGTCTTCACAAGGCCCTGTACGGACTTCGTCGAGCTCCAAGGGCCTGGAACCAGAAGCTCGACGCCTCACTGCTTGGGCTCGACTTCACTCGCTGCGTGGATGAGCACGGTATGTATGTTCGTGGCAAGGGCACTGGGCGCCTGATCGTGGGCGTCTACGTTGATGATTTAATCATCACTGGAGGCGATGCGGGAGCTGTCAACAAGTTCAAGGCTCAGATGATGAGCACGTTCCGCATGAGTGACCTTGGGTTACTCTCATACTACCTCGGCTTGGAAGTGTCGCAGGGAGCAGCCGGGATCACGATCCGGCAGACAGCATACGCCGCCAAGATCCTCGAGAAGGCAGGCATGGTCGGCTGCAACGCCAGTGCCACGCCCATGGAGCCCAAGTTGAAGCTGCTCAAGGAGGGAACCACGCCAAGCGTGGATGCAACAGAGTACCGCAGCATCATTGGAAGCCTCAGGTACCTGTGCAATTCCAGACCAGACTTGGCATACTCAGTCGGCTATCTCAGCCGGTTCATGGAAGCACCACGCCAGGAACACCTCGCTGCGGTCAAGCGTGTTCTTCGGTATGTTGCTGGAACACAACAGTGGGGTTTGCACTATCATCCAGGCAAGAAGAACACCGGCGTTCCTAAGTTGCTGGGTTATTCTGACAGCGACCTGGCAGGCGACGTGAATGACCGGAAGAGCACCAGTGGGCTGATCTTCTTCCTGGCAGGAGGTCCGATTGCTTGGCAGTCGGCAAAGCAGAGGGTGGTTGCTCTGTCTTCATGCGAAGCTGAGTACATTGCCGCTGCTGGAGCTGCGTGTGAGGCGGTCTGGCTGGCACGACTGCTGGCTGAGCTCATCGGAGGAGCTGTCCTCGCACCCAAGCTCAAGGTGGACAACAAGTCCGCCATCGCATTGGTGAAGAATCCTGTACACCATGACCGGAGCAAGCACATAGATGTAAAGTTCCATTTCATCCGGGATTGCTGTGACAGGAAGCTGATCGACGTCGAGTTCGTCGGTACTGAGTTTCAGCTGGGCGACATCCTGACAAAGGCGCTCGGTCGAAACCGGTTTCAAGAGCTCCGCGATGAGATTGGCATGAAGAAGTTAGAGTAGTTGCTCAAGGGCTTAGGAGGAGATTGTTAGAATAAACCCTGAGCACCCGCTAACCATAGAAGGCAACTTAGACTGATTAGTGGCTAAGTATGGCAGGCGGCATGTCCCTGGATGTTGGGATGGCAACAACCGATCCGGGCATACCGTGATTGTCTCAATTAGTTTGTAACCATGTATGACTGCATGTAATTTCTTTATAATGAAAGGAGAGACACCAGAAAACGCTGCCGCTTGCAGCACCAAATTACTTGTGTTTGCGTCTCATTGTTCATCCTCTTCGTAGTTCTGACAGTGCCGACGTGCCGTCGCCGGCGTCCGTGCCGTTGTCACGGAGCTGAGCCATTGTCCACCGTGTTGCCGAAGCCGTGGTGATTGAGCTGCAGCAATCCTGTTGCGGTACTAGCTGCCTTACAGCACTGATTAATATTGTTCTGGGTATTCTCCTCCCATAATTAACACCATTGTATTTGCCAGAGAGGGGAGCTAGGAGGTTGAGATGGCGGGCATGGCGGTGAGCGCTGCCACAGGGGTGTTGAGCTCACTCCTCTCCAAGCTATCGGAGCTGCTCACTGAACAGTACATGCAACGCAAGGGGGTCCGAAGGGATATTGAGTTCCTCTGCCGTGAGTTGACTGATATGAATGCAGCACTTGAGAAGCTGTCGGGCATGGAGAAGCTTGATGTCCAAACAAAGGTGTGGAGGGACAAAGTTCGCGAGATGGCCTACGATATCGAGGACTGCATCGATATCTTCATGCACAAGCTTGGGCTTGGCCAAGGAGATGACAAGGATGGCTTATTTCACAAGATTGTAGGCAAGGTTAGGGAGCTGCGAATGCACTATCAGCTTGCAAACATGATTCAGGACATCAAAGCTTGTGTTGAGGAGCAGAGTAAAATACGAGATAGATACAGGATTGATGAATCTATCTCAACATCTAGAGTGGTGGTGGAAGTTGACCCAAGGCTTCCTGCATTGTTTGAGGATGCAAAAAGGCTTGTGGGTATTGATGGTCCACGGGAGGAAATCTCTAAACTGTTGATGGGAGAAGGTGGCAGTCATTCTGGACAACTTAAAGTGCTGTCCATCGTGGGTTTTGGTGGCCTCGGCAAGACAACACTTGCTAACCAAGTGTACTCTAAACTCAAGAATGAGTTTGAATGCACAGCGTTCGTTTCAGTCTCTAGAACTCCTCACATGCCAAAGATTTTTAAGGACATACTGTCCAGAGTTGGATATCGTGGCACAGAAATGGAAAATGATGTCCAAAAGCTTATCGAGATCCTTAGAGCAACGCTCAAAAATAAGAGGTATATGTTCATCTAGAATTTATTGTAATATATTTATTTGTAGAGTTTTTAATGTTCTGTTTGTAATCGCCTGTATTAAATATCTATATTTTTCCTTTGTCATCTAATAGTAGCAATATGTAAACTTGCCAAGTTATTTTCTGAAGCTTATCAATAGCTATCTCGTTTATTCTTTGAGCAAATACATTTAATTCATTTTAAAAATTACCAAGCATGATTCTGTACATTAAAAATTTATGATGAGTTTTAAGTTTTCACATAAATTTACTGCGCACAAAAAACGTATCTAGGTTTTGTCTGTTAATTCTTTGAAGAAATTTAAGGATTTTGCACATTGTGGAGTAGTGTTGTCTAAACACTTATATTTGGATGCCTTGTCTTGTATATCCCAACTTCACATTCTACATATTTCAGATTTATATATGTATTTGCAATTCAATATGATGAGTTAACATCACCACGATATATATATATATATTTTTATTTTGTTAGCATTAGCAAATGTAATCTTACAAAAAGCATAAGTGATAGACGACATCTGTTGGCCCTCGATCTCCCTGCACATGTGAGTGATTAGCTCACCAACACCCCCACACTCTCACTCACGGCTAGAAGTAGAAGAAGAGATGAGAACAGAGCACACAACCAGCACAAACACCTGTGCTGAAACTCTGAAAGTGTTGAACTTTGAACAGAGTTGCTTCTATTGCATTGTCTAGTATATATACCTCACTCACGGCTAGAGGTAGAAGAAGAGACGAGAACAAAGCACACAGCCAGCACAAACACCTGTGCTGAAACTCTGAAAGTGTTGAACTCTGAACAGAGTTGCTTCTATTGAACTCTGAACAGAGTTACCTCACTCACGGCTAGTATATATACATGATTTAGTACCTCTACAAGGTACGCTAGAGTATGACTGACCTCTCCCTACATGGCTGATGTATGCCACTATCATATTGGCCTATATATTGCCATACTTCTACTAGTCCAAAAGGTACATCAAGAGCTGACCACAACCCCTGCTTCAGCAAAAGACCAATCAAGAGGGCAGCACATTATCTTACAACATCCACCATCCATCACCTTTTAACTAGTCATAAGTGATGGGCTATAAAAGCATGTACCATTACCGTCTAGACTGACAATTAATCAATAATTGTGTCCCGTCACTAGTTGTGACACTGAAAAGTGACGACCGTTTGCTCATCACTTTAGATAAGTAATTAGTGACGTGTCCTGTGTCAAGGAAAAAATGCCACGGTAGGGGAAACCCCTACTGTATTCCCCTCAAAAGAAAAAGGAAAAACTGTCATCACTTATATTGAGTTATAGAAGTTATTTGGTCCTGTGACCTGCTATTTTGATCAATCGTCCCTCGTATTGATTTTTGTGCTCAGCTAATAGAAAATATTAGAATGATGTTCAAGCAATGGCAAAAACATAAGGTTCCTTCTTATTTAAGTGACATATTACTCATTTATTTTGTCATATTGTGTTGCAATTGGAACTGACTTAAAAGTTACTTACTTTGCAGGTACTTTGTCATAATTGATGACCTATGGAGCATCAAAGATTGGCGCAGTATTGGGTGCGCTTTTGTGGAAAATAATAATGGCAGCAGAGTGATAACTACCACACGTATTCAAGACGTTGGTGCAGCCTGCTGCTTTCCAAGTCAAGGCCATGTATACCAGATGCAACCCCTTAATAAGATTCACTCAAGAAGGTTGTTTTTCAAACGACTATTTGACATAGAAGATAACTGTCCTAAGCAATTCAGAGAGATTTCAGATGACATGTTAAACAAATGTAAAGGGGTACCGTTGGCAATTACTAGCATTTCCAGCCTTTTGGCTAACCACATGCACGTCGAGATATGGGAGAAAATACATAATTCGTTGGGTTCTGAGTTGGGCACAAATCCTACACTGGAATGGTTGAGGCATGTGTTAAGTCTTAGCTACAATGACCTGTCCCATGAGCACAAGACATGCTTGCTATATCTTGGTGCGTATCCCGAAGACTTTGAAATCCCCAAGGAAGATTTGCTGAGAAAATGGATAGCTGAAGGATTTGTTATGGAAAAGCATGGTTTAGATCTGGAGGAAGCTGCTGAGAACTGTTTCAATGAACTCATCAATAGAAGTATGATCCAACCTTGCTTTGATGAAGATGACTTTGGTAATGTGTGGAAATGTCAAGTTCATGACCTAATGCTTGAGCTTATTGTATCAAAGTGAAAAGACGAAAATTTCATCGCTATAATTGATAAGTTTCACAAAAATGGAGCATCACAAGTTCGCCGGATCAGCCATCGATTCCATGACAGAGACATGGCCCTGACAGTCGAGAGTATGAGTGCATCACAAGTTCGGTCATATATTTCCTTCCCTGCGGCTAAGTGTATGCCTCCACTTTCGAGATTTGGGCTGTTGAGAGTCTTGGGCATGGAACATAGCTTTTCTATGGAGCCTATGTGTATTGATCTGTCTGCTATAAATCACCTTTTTCTGCTGAGGTATCTAAGGGTCCGGAACTTTCGTGTTGAGCTGCCAAAGAAATTTGGCAAACTAAAGCATTTGATGACCTTAGATATGTCCCAGTCTAGGTTCTATCTTGATCAACAACTATCGGATTTTAGTTCCTTGACATCTCTAAGGTATCTTAGTTTGCCAGGACGGGTAGCGTTCAGAAACGGTCTTAGCAAGCTGTGCAACCTACGTGACCTATCCTTTTTTGACATTGGGACTAATTCCATAGAGTGCATCAGAGATCTCGGTGAGTTGACCAATCTTAGGAATCTTTCGGTGATATATGGTTACTCTAGGCCAGGTGGGGTAGAAAATAATCATGAGACAATCCTGGCTGCCTCTATTGACAAGCTTGGGAACAGCAACCTCCGCTATCTGGAGTTTGTGGTTTGGTCTGGTGACAGTGACCCCTCAGCAGAATTCTGGACTAGTTGCTTGGCATGTCCAGGGCATCTGCAGAGGCTTCAGTTGTTCTGCTCAATACCCAAGGTTCTAGACTGGATTGCGCATGCTGACAGGTTGGCCGATTTGTATCTAGAAGTCCAGGAGCTTCGGAGTGATGACATCCAGTCTCTTGCGCAGTTGCCCTGCCTCATCCACCTCAGGTTAATAGCTATAACAACAGAGAAAAATATCATTATCCATCGAAACACATTCCCTAGCCTGAAGCATTTCCGTTTTTCTTGTGATCTGTCATGCCTCGAGTTTGAGCCAGCAGCAATGCCACTGCTACTGAGACTGTACATACATCTTGATGGTCGTGGACGAGGTGCGATCCAACTGCAAGAGGGCAGTCCAGTTAGTGGCATCGAGCACCTTGCTAGCCTTGAAAAGATCTCCTTGCGCTTGGTTATACATGCCAAATGCGATCAGGGGTCCAAAATAGAATCTGCATGGAGAGACGCCATCAGCAGGCACCCGAAAAGTCAAGCCATTAAGATTTGTATAGACTGTTATGAGTGTGATGAAAATTGGAGTGTGGTATGTAGAGACAGAAATACTGTTGCATGGATTAGTGGAGAGGATTCAATATGAAATATTACCCGCCACTCTAGAAGACTAAATTGCTGGGTTACTGGTATGCTTATGTTGTCCTTACTTCTGATCTTCGTCTCTTTTATTTTTGAACCATGATCATGTTTGCTCTGTTTCTTTCTTTGATTAGGAGTTGCTAGACCTTGCCAACTGCGCTGGCTCCATTCGGCTTACCTTATATCTGGCTTGTTCGGCTTCTTTTTTCAGTCGGAACAATGCTTTTCTCTCACAACATTTCAGCCAAAACAGTGTTTTTCAGCCACTTTCAGCCAACATTTCAGCAAACAGACCACTGTTTGCTAGAACACTGTTTGCTAGATTTGCTCTGCTACTTTAGCTGCCCTGTTCATGCTTTCACTTCTGACCTCTGCTTCAGCTATAGTGGCATAACAAATAGGCACAACCGCACAACTGCACAAGGGTCAAGGAACTCGCTCTTTTCATAGTATCTTACTAGTCTATTTATACTATAAAGGAGCGAAGTAAATGGAAATCATTCGTTACCTAAAAAATTTTCTACCCATTTTTATTGACATGTGGATCCACAAGAGAAGGACGGCAGCAACAAATGAAACATGCGTGTTTTCCATTGCCGATGACACCTCGCTCGCGATTTTTTTCACCAAAGCGCCGCGTACCCGCCCGCACAAACCCGCCTGAGCGCGCAGCGCCCGCACGTACCCGCCTGCCCGCGCAACGCTTCACGCTTCCTCGCGCACGGGAAACCGCCGCAGACCCGCCCGTCCTCATCGCGACTTCTCGCGCACGGAAAACCGGCGGACCGACCACGCATCGCCAACATCGCCGGCGTCGCCTCCGCCCGCACCGCCGCGCGCTGTGGCCGTCGCTACGTGAGTGCCGTCGCTGGCAGCAGACGACCTACCTACTCCTCCCCGCCGACGAGCTTCGCAGGAGGACGCTGCCGCCGTGGGTGCCCTTCTCCTCGCTTTTCTTTGAGTAACACTCTTGCTGTGCCTCACCGGAGCCCGAGATCAGTCTCATCGAGTTCGCGGTAATGCCCTCTTCCTCCCGGTGCTTTTTTCCGCGTCGAGTTTCGTGAACGACAGCGACGGTTCGTCGTTTTCGGGCGATCACACCTCGCCGGCGATCATGGCACACGAGCAGGTAGAGCAAAGCAGCCGGCCGTGTGTGCCTTTGGTCCTTATTAGCTTGATGACATCACCACGTTTCGTAAACGACAGCGCCGGTTCGTCGTTTTCGGCCGATCTCACCTCGCCGGCGATCATGGCACACGAGCAGGCAGAGCAAAGCAGCCGGCCGCGTGTGGCTTTGGTCCTTATTAGCTTGATGACATCACCACGATGTCATGCATGCTAATTATGGCCGTTTTCTTGTAGAAAAACAAAACCAGAAATACCACCTGTATACATGTATACATGCACACACCCTCAACTGTCCATGTCTCGACCTGCGGCCAGGATTAAAAGGCCATAACCATTCACTCGTGGCAGTGACGAAGCCAGAAAAAAATTTAGGAGGGACTGAGCAAAAGAATAGAGGTTTTTTTTTTATTTTCTCTTAACCTTAGTCCCTCCTACCTAATACATGTATGTATAAAATTTTAAGGGAGGGCTTAGGGGGCTCCACATGTCCAGGATCGGCAGGGGGGGCTGAAGCCCCACCGCTGGCTCCGTCGCTGCTCGTGGACATGGTTCACGGTGAACCGCAGGCACACCACACCACTGGTCCACGGTTCATAGAGTCTTAATATGTATTTTGAGTTAGTGTAGTTTTAGTTGCATGTAGAGTCTTAATTTGAATCCCATGTTAGGGTTTACTAGATTTGATATATCATCCTTGTAACTTGGGTTTCGGATGGGTAGAAGTCAGTGCTTAGTTTGTAGTCTTGGGTTGGGAAGGTATAATTTTAATCATGACTAATGATCTATGCAACATGTGAGATGGTAATCTTTTTAGTAACATGGTGATTAGGAAAATCTGGCAGGATGGTTGGTCATGGTTTGGAAATGGTGGAATGGGTACTGCGAAATTAATTTTGCTAAATTCATAACTTTATCCTCTGCCCGTGAAAAATATGTTTTCATATGTTACTCTAACCAAAATTTCTTCATTTATTATAATGATTTATGTGATTTAGTTTCCTTATGTTGGCAAAAAATAATAAATTTGTATAGACCTAATAGTAGGAACGTAAAGCATTAAAATGTAACGCTGAAGCATTTTGGAGTGCCAAATGTATGAAATAAGTACCGACAAAGTTTGTGTAGGTAAGCCTAACAATGAGGAAGAAACTAGGGCCAAAAAATGTGAAAATCAACGAGATAGGTATGCTGCATTGCCTAGCGACGAGAAGGACAAAGTTCGAGCCAAGAAACATGAATATCAGCGTAGTCGTCGGGCTCGTCTAAAGGCCGAGGCTAATGCATCCAAATTGATTGCACCATTTGAAATCACAGCTAATAAGGAGGAAGCTCGGGCCAAAAATCGTGACTATCAACGAGAAAGGTACGTTGCATTGCCTAACCACAAGAAGGAGGAATTTCATGAAAAAAATCGTGAGCACCAACGTAGTCGTCGGGCTCGTCTAAAGGCCGAGGCTAATGCATCCAAATTGATTGCATCATCTGAAATCACCAATACTAGAATGGATGATAAAGGCAACTCTTGTAAGAGGAAATGGGACATGGCTTCACAAGTTGATAATATAGGTATTTTGCTTTGGTTTTTGCTCTCCACTTTTTTGTTTCTGCTCTTCTTTTTTGTTCTTGGTCTTCACTCTCAATTGTTGCCACTGTTCATTTTAGCAAAAATAGCACTTTCAAATATTTTTGAGTCTTTTAGATCAAGGCACTTGTGAAGATCAGGGCACTCTAAAGCACATGGCCATGAAGAGGTATAGGCATGCAATGCCTGGTAATAAGAAGGATGAGGTCCTTACTAAAAAGCGTGAGTATCAACGTAATTATCGAGCTAAGTTGAGTGCTGCCGCCAAGTCCAAGAAATTCTTAGCATCAACCCTTAATATGTCAGGTATGATACTAATATATTTTTAACTATACATGTGGTGTCAAACATGTAAATATCATAGGCATGATACTAATATATTTTCACCTATACATGTAGTATCAAACATTTCAGGTATGGTAGTAATGTTTCCTGCTTAATATCCTATCTGTTTTAGGTGTTAGGAAAGGTGTATATCAACGTGATTATCTTGCACATAAAAAAGTTGATCAAGGAGATTTCAATTCTGGCATTTGGGAACCAGAAGACACATTGCATGGAATAGAGGGTATGAAAAGTTTAAACTATGTACTTGTATATGCAATGAGTAATGGTTTAATATTTTTTCAATTGAAAATGATTTAGATCAACAGAACCCAAATGAAGATTGCCCTGACATCTACGAGGATGATGGAGCTAGAATGTTCAATGATAAATGTGAGCTTGTGAGGACTTTTTTTCCTATATATTATTTTTATTGATGCTCATGCAAATTTCAGAAATTTTGATTTTAAATTGCAAATTTCAAATACGGGTATTCTATAGAATCCACAACAAGAATAAATGGTCATGATAATTATAACTTTGTGTATGTGGGACTTCCTAAGACCCATCATGTCTTGAACAAAGTGCAGAACTGTTTTTATTGTCGTGCAAAGAGGTTTGAAGGTGAAGGTCCTGCATTTTGTTATCGGAACCGACGGGTTAATATATTTATACCAAAGGTCCCAGATGAGCTCCGTCGATTGTTCACAAGTCAAACTGATAAGGATGCAAAGTATTTTAGAAAGAACATTCGTTACTTCAATTCACATTTTTCTTTCACAAGCATGGGGGTTTCAATTGATCGTAGTTTGGCAACAGCAAAGGGTACTGGTATTTATACATTTAAAGCTCATAGCCAAATATATCACATGTTGGATCAACTTATGCCCGGTGCTAAGGGACCAAGCCACATGCGGTTATACTTTTATGACATAGATGAGACTATGCATCATAGGATGAAAAGATCACCACACCTTGACGCTACTGTGATCCGCACTATATTGAACATCATGCAACACAATCCATATGTTAAAGCATATAAGAGTCTAGGCATTCTTACCAGCTTGGATTGTTACGCTATTGATCTAAATACAAGTATTTCTGTTGACTAGAGAAGGTATAATGCGCCCACAATGGAGCAAGTGGCTGCTATATGGTTTGATGGAAATGATCCACAACAAAGGTTTGAACGAAGCATAGTCATTTACGGTAAAAAAATCAACCTCATTATATAAGGTCATACCATCGATGTTATGATCCATTAGTATATCCTATGTTCAATACTAATGGTGAAACTGGTTGGGACGATAAGAAGATTTTATATCAAGACTCACCTCCATCAAAACCAAAGAGAAAATATAATAAGCATGTATAAAAAGGTGGTTTTATTTGTTATTTGCATAAATAATAAACAATTTTTTCCTCAAAATCTCATTAACAACCAATTACAAATTTCTTACTTTTATATTTATATTTTATTATATAGGCCCAACGCTTGTTGAGATCAATGATGTCTTGGAGACGAACGTACATGAAGAAGAAGGTTATTTCCTTTGCAAAATTTTTTATCGATTTAAAATATTAATATTTTTCTCAACATGATGAAGTTAAGACATTTCAGCCATTTAATAAACTCAAAACAAAATGAAAATTTAATCTTTTTTATTGTTATTGTCGACACAGAATTTTCGTCTCTATGCCGAGGACACACGCAGCAAGCCGGAAGAGTCCGCTCGATGGAGCAGATCTGCCTAGCTTCAGCGCAAGGGTAGTCGATCCTGCATAATCCTCCCGAGACGTGCTAGTCAATTTGACCCTGCAATTGATAAGGAGAGAAAACTTATCAGTAATTAAGGGTGGAACGTGCCGGTGTTGCCAGACAATCCTGAATGTGCGGCTCTGAGAGCCGATATGAGAGGAGATCGACTAAATAGTCGATTCCGGCATATTCATAAGAATAAATCGATTAAAACTCGTGGGGTTGTATAAGAAGAATCGGTTATCATTCAGGATAAATATTATTTAAGCAAATATTAATCAATGGCAATAAGATATTAATGATGATCGGTTTATACTGAGACAATGATTACAAGTAACCGAACCCCTTTTTATATAAAGAAACAATTCAACACCACTTAACCATTTAATAAAAATAAATCTAATTAACATGTTAGATCTCATCTATCGCCATGACCAGTAGGGCATGAGGTAGAATCATGCAGGCCATAAAAACAACAATAGACTCGACGACCCTAACTCATTACTAATATCAGTGGGGCATGAGGCAGAATCATGTAGGCCGTAATACAATAATAAGATCATGGGGCTAACATATCTTTCAACTTATCTCTACTTCAATGATCTCGTAATGCGAACTGTTCGTGAAAGCGCTCGATATCGGCTAAATAGTCGATTCAAGCATAGCGTACAGTTAAGGTCATGCCTTCTCAGGAACGGATCTACCAACTAACGATCCCCACTCTACGGTGCTAACAGTGGGGTGAGAGGCAGAATACCACAGGCCGTGATAACGGGCCATGAAACGGTTCTCGCTAACCAATAGATCTACTCAAGATCGAACATGCCTTAACCGCACGCTATGCACGATTAAGATCGATATAAAACAGTCGATAAAACATAACTCATCGTTTAAGGTATAGATTAGATCAATTTTAGATTAGCAAACGATGGGTTAAATAAGATATAAGGCTGATCCAGATCAATCTCAATCAGGCAGAGTGATATTGTTGTAATTAGATAAACAATGAAAGTAATAAGCAATATCGGTAACTTAATGAATCTACCAAAGACTGTCATCCTAAGGTAGAGCCGATAACTTGACCTTGATCTAGTTCAAGCAGTGGGGTGTGAGGCAGAATCACACAGACCATACTTGAACTAGACAAGAGTCGATAACTAGCCTATACTAGAGCCGCAGTGGGGGTCGACCGGATCGATGCAGCCATACGAACAGAGGTATAAACCATGACGGTACTTGTAGACAAGCAGTGGAGGTCGACCGGATCGATGCAGCCGTACTCGCTGAAGAACTCGCCGAGATCTACTCTACTCCTACTCCTAAGGGGTGGCCGGAGCCAAAAAAGTAATTGACTTGTATTTGATTGATTGTGTGTCTTACAATAACCGGGGCTTGATATTTATACTCGGAACCTGCACATGACTCCTATTCGAGTACGACTTAATACAATTCTTTGGTATGTAGAAAATATTCCTATCTTAAGATAACTTGGACTCTAATTTTTTCCCTTTTGTAGAGTCTGACATGTATATTCTTGGCGCCAATCATATCCTGTCATCGTTATCTGCTGACGTCATTTGGAGAGAATCGATCTAGTGTCGCATTCGATCCAACATGTATCAATCTTTACTCTATCAACTCCTTGATTGGCATAATTCTGGAAGCCTACGAGTTCCCGCGCTCTTCTCCCAAATTTTGGTGTAAACACATGCCCCCAAATTTTGAGATAAAATGATTTTATCCTAAAATTCCAGTTACTGGTTTACCACACCGCAACTGCATTGTCCGAGATATTCGCGCGACTCTTGGCTCCCTGGCCCGAGTTCTATGTAACATCCCAACAGCATATCTCGCAACTCACTCGGCCTGTTTGCTTTCTCCTTTATTCTTAAGCCAACTTTCAAACAGCCGACGTCGTCATCACCGAGGCCCCAAACCCTAGCAGATCATCTGTTCCAATGAGCCGTCGTCCAAGCGATCTTCACCAGATCCAAACCAATTTTTGACCACGATGGCGACCGTCGACCACATCCCTGAGGTATATCTCCAAGTTTCCATTTTCCGAGTATCGGCCACTACCCCATATCTTCTCTCTTCTTGAATTTATTTTATCCAATTTCTAAGAAATGAGGAACGAGATCTTGATTCCATCATGCTTGCTTTCTCGAGCCTATGGGTGATTCTGATACATCCGATTTTATCCGCCAAGAAACCAACCAGATCTCCTTTAAACAGTCTATAGTGGATTCATCCTCCTGGAACAAAACTTCCTTCAGAAACTAGCCTAACGCACCTAAGGGATGGAGAGACTGGTTCTGTAGGGTATCCGCGAAAAAGGCGGAGACTGGGAGCTTTATGATCTGAACCAATGCTTAACACTCTCGTTGTTTGAAATGGAGAGGAATGATTCACTCTTGATCTCTGCTTCTTATTTCTGGTCTAATGCTCTAAATGCTTTCATTTTTTGTGACGGCCCAATGACCATCACTCTGGCAGACGTATACATGTTGACCGGCCTTAGGATTACTAGATCAGTGCAACCTTATGAGTATTTGAGTGCCGGTCCCAAGAGATTGGCCAAGATAGCAGACTGTACTGGATGGGCAAGTTACTTTCTGAATCATATTGAAGATGGACCAACCGTTAGTGAAAGGGAATACGTGGCCTTTCTGAACATGTGGTTAGAAAGATTCATTTTCTGTGGGTCATCTTGTGGTCCAACCTATAATCACAAACTCATGGCGGAGCACCTAGCATTGGGCAAAGATATCCCTCTTGGAAAATATCTGTTAGGACCTGCTTATCATCTGATGTACCAGGTGGCTGCCCAATTACTGAAGAATGAACCGATGTAGACTATCGGCGGTCCTTGGTGGCTGATACAATTGTGGCTCAATTTGTACATGCACAAGACTGTAAAGCCTGACCTCAGGGACCTGAGCTTTCCTTTCTCTAATTTTGGTGAGGAATATAGAGGCAAAGAAGGAAGAACTCGATGGTGTACAAACTATGGTGAGGCTGCATCAGCCATAATAATCAACTTCGATGCTGGCCACCTCTTCAAAAAAATTTACAGAGGGTTTGATGTGGCTGTTCTGACCTGGCTACCTTATAATGAGGAGGATGAACTAACTTTTCCATTCAGATTCTGATTTGAATCCGGCTGTTCGGACAAGACAGCGGCTGCGATCTTCAATTCTTTTATTAAGCCCTGTGTTCTTCCTACCGAATTTCGTCACGGTCGTGGCAAAATGATTAAAGGCTCCTCCATCTCAGACAATCCTTCAACCTATGAGTTTTACAACCCTTCATTTGTGGCCCATCAGTTTTGCCTCGGTCAACTCCACCCTTGTCTGTTCTTCAAGAACACCCTGAAGCCGAGGGAAGATATTAGTGATGTGCTAGAAGCTTCTAGAGTCTTCCAATTGGGATCAGACCTTCCTTCCTTTTCCTTGCATGACTAGGTCAGGGCCGGCTTTTCTTCCAATCTCTTCGACTCCTGGTGGCAAGAATGGCATTCCCATCTCTTCTGTGGGCTGGTCTACCCTCTGTGCATAGCTCTGGACAGGGAATTTGCTTCTGATAGTGAGGTAATCCCTTCATTCTCTTTTCGGAGAGATTACTTGGCGAATCTTCTTGCCAACTGTTCTAACCGACCCTTTTAGGACATTGAATTCGATCCTCCAAGCCGGGATAGGAGACGGCGTCCTATAGATTACCAGCCGTCATGCCTAGTTTCAAGGATGGGATCAACCGCACCTTCTTTGAAGAAGTTGATGAGAACCCATGCTGCTCCCATAATCGTGACATGCGAATCTCCAAAGCGCAAAGTTGTTCCAGGGGTGACTCAGAAAGCCACTACTGGAAAAAGACTCCGCAGGACAAGACCATCAACTGCTCAGGTGAACAATTCACACTTTCCTCAAACTGATGGTCAATTTTTCTGATCCCATTTTGTCACAGTTATCGAGCATCACGTCTCAGTCTACTTTGGGTGCGGGACAGCTATCTCAGGTACTTGATCCTCCACCAACCGAACCTTCATCTCAGGAGAAGCCAATTTCAACGGAGGCAGCCGATGCTTTCACAACGGTAGAAAATGTGAGTTTTATCCTTGATATTCGTTGGAGTATTTTCCTTTAACTTCTTCATTCAACCGGCTTTCCAACCTTTTTTTGATCATTTGTCACGCTAGACATCTTCTGAGGAAATACCCGTGCAAGAGCAGGGGCCTGGCAGTTCATCTTTTGACAATGATCCCGTTGACGCTGGGAACAGCCCCGTTGTTGATACTCATACTGCCGATTCCCCAATTTTGCATACACCTGATGGTAAGGAAATCATATGCTTGGC